AAAAAAAAAAAAAAAAAGTATATTCAAAAAAGTAGAAAATAGGAAAGCAAAAGCATGAAGACTAAAACATTTGAGTGTGGTGTTCTAGACAGCTCACAGGTTTTTAGAATCAGAGGAATGGGGCATTACCCAGACTATCTCCTTGTGTCCTTGGCATCTTATTTAACCTGTGCCTCTGTTCCTTATCAGTAAAAACAGTGGGGGACACACCTTGGAAGCATGTGTATTACATTAGATAGCACATGTGGCATTCCCTTAGCAAGGCAACAGACTACGTTAGTTTTCCTTTCACTTAAAAACAGTCGATAGTGTCATCAGAAGAATCATCTTCTATCAAAATGTAGGGAATCTTTGTTGAAAAACATGTATGTGTGTTATAGGTAGGAGAAGCATTAAAACTGGGAAACGTTAAACTCTCCAACAATTCAACTTGAGTTGAGCCACTCTTGGAAATGTTGACTGCAATACTTTGGGCCAATTGCCATATGATTCCTGTTTCTGAGAATCTCTATAACTGAGATTCTCCCCAGCTCTGCTTGTTCACTAATGTAATTCCTTGTCTTTCACGATTATTCTCCTTCCTGGGAAAAATATAGAACTAAACTTAACCTTAGTTATTCATATTAGTCCATTTAGACCGAATCAGAGTACCCTCTTTATGGGTACAATTCAGAGAAAAGAGTCCCAGACTCATATTTACTCCAGTTAAATGACTGTAAGTCATTCTTACAGTATATTTCATGCTGAAATCATATCCTGATTGGGCTTCTAGACAGCTGGCCGACACATTTCTTCTACAAAGAAGAAATCTCAAAACAGAAGCCATGCTAGAAACAAACACTAGTTGCATTTCCTGCCTTAAAAAAAAAAATTATGCACAGCAGTTTGAAAAGGCAAAACAAAAAATCGGCAATGAAAATGTGAAATCTGTCCATCTTGTCTTTTCCAATCCAAACTTCAGCATCCTCTGAGGCTGTGTAACTGCTCATGTTTCCATGAGAATTGACAATGTAAAGCTGGACAGAGGCCTGAGTTGGTATCTGGTAGCACAGACTTGTCAGTAAACTGTCTCCCTGGTTTATAGCACTGTCAAAATGCAAAATACTCAACACAAATTATGCTACATTAGGACCTTTGATACTAGTAACATAGTCCAAGTTGTGTTGTGCAGTTTTTTGAATTAGATGATAAATGAAGTGCATATACCAGCCCCTTTCAAAATTTACTAATGAGATTATCCTTTGAATGAATTTTCTAGACTGGTCTCATTACCTTGTTGCTAACGCCATACCTTCCCCTCCATCTGGACCAGGACTCTAGCAGGAAAGCTGACTTAGAAGAGAATCAGTGCTGGGTACAAAGAGGTTGTGTGTGTGCCTGTGGCTTTGTGTGTGTATGTGTGTGTGTGTCCTAAAATAAAATGGCAAGGCAGTGATAATTCTGTGAAAAGCATAAAGTACTAAGCAAACGTGGTGCCTCCTTTTCTTCAGTCTAAGTTGAGACTTGAATGATGCTGGCTTACCTTCCTTGCATTAACATGTTTCATCTCTGTATTCACCTTGCACATGTTTCTTTTTTAGAAGGCTCTAAATAGATATATTTTTAAACAAGTCCCTGCCCACTGTTAGGCTAGACTAATGAAAACTGATCTTAGAGATTTTCAAGACAGTTGAATTGCAATTTATATGTTTCACTAACTTTCTTGAATGCTATAATCATCAGCAATTCTAAATACATCAGTTGAATGATTCAATTTGTTTTGGTTTTCTGTTTGACTCACTAAATCAGTAGGAATTAAATACCCTTATTATACTTCCAGATCAGATGACATACAAGTTAAATTCAAAGTGATCACTTTTGCAAAGTACTTCCTAATTATATCTAATAATGATAATAATAATAACCGTAAAAGTAACTAGTATTTTCTTAATTTATTATGTGCTAGGCACTGTACTGAGGACTTTATATAATTTAATTTATAGGAATATTACTGTTTCAATTTTAAAGATGAGGAAACTGAGACTCAGGTATTAAATAATATCCTAAGGTCATAGAACACGGAAGGGAGGAAGCGAGGACGAGGTCCCAGATCTCTGACCCAGACCTGTCCTGCAAACCACTGCCAGGAGCCTGTGCTTTCTATTCGTTAGTTGTTGACTATCTCCTTTCAAGAGCAGAGACGAGTGTTTTCATGCTACATGTACTTGTTCATGACGTTCATTTACTCCTGCTTCTTGGTACTGGTAAATTATACGTGCTATCATTGGCATTTGACTAAAATTGTTCAAGAAGTGAAATGCTTGGGAAAATGCCAAACATCACAGTTTTGAAGAAGCGTGGCACTACCACACTCTCTGTATCTATGTTTGGACTAAAAAACTACTTTAACACAGTATTTTTGTTGTAGCCTTTGGGAAAGGCACTGATTTCTTGAAGTAAAGACCTCAACTTAACTAGGCTGTGGGTGAGTTAGCCAGCAGTGCTCTACCCTGTTTGTTGAATTTGGTGCCAGCTTGCAGTGACATTTTGCTGACACAACTCTTCTGTTATATGAAGGCGTCTCTCAAGGAAAACTGGTCCATGACCTTAGATGTCAAGCTGTCATCACTCTGTGACACTGTGTTGAGTCTTCAGAATTATCTGTGTTCTCCTGATGGTTTTCCTGCATGTGGGTACGTTGTAAAGGACAGACTTCAGCACGAAGGGTACTCATGGCTGTCTTGAGAACTTCTGACAGTGGGTCCTGGAAATCCCCCCCAGACTAAATTCCCCTTCCTTGGGTTTGTATTTAAGCCTAAGGCCCAAAGGACAAAGTTAGTTCAGATTCTCTTTGGTATTGCTTCACACCCTCTTTCACAAATTAAAAAGGGGACAAGACACACTGGCATCCTTTTTGGAAAATACCAGCTCTGAAGCTTTTCAAGCTCTTGAGCCAAAGGGAGAGCAATGAAGCCCCACAGGAAGAAATGACTGGGAATTTTCCAAAGTGATGTTTCTTAGTCCCCAGTAACAAATATTCCCTGTAACTGCCTGAATTGGAGGAAATGACTTCTTACCAAGATTTACACATGTTTTCCCTATATAGAAACAAAAATTAAAGGAAGACTCTTTAGGACACCCTCCTTCACTTTTTCACACCAGGAAGAACAAAATATATAAATGTTACAAATTGACATAGCCAAGAGTCCTGTGTATGAAAGTGTGCGTACATGCATACACATGTGTATTTTTTGTTTTCCATGAAAAATAGCTTTTTCCCATTAATTTAGAGTCTTTCACTTTGCATATCCTTATCCACCCAGATTTTATTGGCATACTAATTCAAATTAGTTATTGGCTTAAAGACATGATTGAACACACTAAGAATAAGCCCCATTGCAAAAACCTAGTAGAAAATAATTCTCTGTTACCAACTATACCTAAACTACTTTTATATAGATTTGTACCTTAAAGCAAAGCAAAGTGTTAACTTCAGTAGCTATCCCTGTGCTTTTACTATGACTTGCAGCATCAAAAATTGAATAAAAAACAGGAGAAGCGAGAAAGAATATGAACAATTGGCAATTTCATCATGAAATAAGCAGTTGGATGAAACATAAAAAGATCTGGAAAAGGATTTCAAAACTTTGAGTTCTGTTCTTATGAAATAATCCTGGTATCAAGTCCATTCATTTTTTTATTGAGTTTATATGCCCTCTTATTATTTTTAAAATGAAGTATTTCCTTAAGCCTACTTCACTCTCACTGCCAGCCATAGCAACAACAAAACAAACTGTGTTATTTGCTTTATTCCGTTCCACAGGG